AATTAACTACGATTATATATTGACACAAGTGTCGTAAGATACTTTGCGTATATTTCATGAATTTCACGGCTTATATAAATGGGGTAACTCGGTTCCGCGTGAAACTGTGTCGAATTAAAGCGCGGAAGGATGGCGAAATTCGCTCTTCTATTTTGTCTCCTTATTTTCTCTGCCTATGTAAGTGATATATCAACGGCGTTATCAATTAATTATTATTATCAATTAATCTGCTTGATAATAATCCTAGTTGAAATGAGGGTAGTTGCGAAGGGTAGGGCCGTGAGATATGGAAGAGAGCTTATTGTTATAATAATAACGGTTACATCGATATATTTGAAGAGATACGTTTCGATGAGGAACGATTTTTTCGTCAAAAGCAAAACACTGAGATTCGATATATAAAAATATCTCGAGACTCATTCATTTATATCGAGGTATCGAGTAATTCGTTAGACGTGAGAATAGAAGCATCTCATCCAACTTGTTTAAAACTTACCAATTAATTGCCTAAACTTTTGTACATCGAATTTTATTTTGTTTGTTCTGCCTTGGAAAATCTATCTATCCAAACATGATTTCACGATTAACACTCGTATAAGATTATTATCGTGGATCTGTTGTTGCATTTAATGAATTATTAATCGATTCTCTTGCATAATAGTAATATGTTCGATGATATAAGAACAGATATAATTCTACGTAAATAAACTATCTATTCACTAATGTTATAAATCGTTTCAAAAGTGGATCGATATTATACGATATTTAATCATGATATTTTTAATATTTTTCTTTTTTTTTCGTTTTATATCAGGGCAGCTCTCAAATCATTCCTTCGTTCTTCAATCCAACGAGGAAAGTGCAACAATTTGAAAAACATGTTATCGAAAAGATCAACCATATCATTAATAATGCGAACACGATCTTTGTTCAGCCTAAGGAACGAGCTAAACAGCTTGTAGAAGAGATGAAAAAAAAGAGCGAGAAAATAAACAAAGAAGCAAGAAATTTTGTCAATAACATATTAAAAAATGTGAGTATGCGATGTATTAATATGATCAAATCGTTTATTAAATATTTCGTATAATAATTTGAAAATAAAAGTAATTTGCACAGTTAATTATATATATATATATATATATTATCTGATATTTTTGTGAAAAATGATAGTAAATATTTTTACAATATAGTCATTTTAAAGTTTATTATAAAAAAATCACAATTCTTGTTTAAATAATTTTTTATGTAGCAAAT